CAACATGTTTTATTAACAGAATAGAGGAGAGAGAGGACAATTAATTAATATACAGGGTAAAATCAGGGCTTGTGAACGGGGAATATAAACAGTTAATAAGAGAATGCACGCTAAAACCGCAATAACTTCGCGTTTACTCCACATTAATACTTTTTATATAAATAATAAATAAATAAAACCAATGGACAATCTTTAATGTTTAATGCCAGATAACTACCTATATTTCTCCCTTATATGCATTGAAGAGTTCTTACTTTCCAAGATACTTTAATTTATGGCTATTGAGAACTTACTATGGCTCATCAATAGATGGAGTTGTGTGTATATTAATGTTCGGTAAAATATCGCAACATTAAATTAGATAGTAAAACTAAAAAAAAATATAGTATGTATCTATATAATTAAATTTAATTTAAATTACAATATTTCAGAAAAAAAATAAAGAACACATTGTTACATAGAAATATTTAAGTACTAAAAATACAAACACCGTTTATAATCGTAAGTACTGTCCTTCTTTAGTGATGACATATCTTGACGGAGGGTGTTTGTGTTCTCCAAATAAATACGGTGTATTGCTTCGATCAAATTTAACTCTGGCTTCGCATTTAGCTTTATACTTATTAGAGCACATCCAAGTTTTGCAAGTAACGTTGTGCCTATAGTAAGTATAATCTTGAATCAGAAGCAGACGTTTTCGGCCATTATTAGAAGTGACAAACTTATAAGTTATTTCTGCAACAAATACAAAACACCATTGCGGTCATCAATTGTAAGTAGTAATTATAGAAATATATCTATTTATACATGGTATAAACCAGTCACTAGCCGCTGTCTGTACGCGGAGATTTTTGGAACGGCACAACAAATTTTAATGCAGTTTTTATCAACATACAGGATCATTCAAGAAGGTTGATATGTATTATACGGGACTCGGGCGAAGCCGCTGGCGGAAAACTTAGTAACTTAAAAAAAAAAGTTTCCATGCATAATCCATAAAAACGCAAATAAAACACTTTAGTATATTTAGTATTTTTTGTTATAGCGGCAACAGATATTTTATCTTACTATCACGATTCCTGAGTAAAAGTAAAAGGGTCCCGTTTTACCTCTTGGGTACGAAACTAAAGACCCGGGAGCGTACTTTTAAAAGCGACATTGTGCTGTTGCGGGAAGTTTTAACCAATTGGTCCTCACTATTAACTATTTAGCGTATATTGATTTTAATACGACGCTTCTAATATAACTACTAAATGATGGGAGAGGTCGTGGGTTCCAATATAATAACTAAAGGTAGCACACTTTCCAGGGAAATTTTAATATGTATTTAACAAACTGTAGGTACCTTTACAAACATCGGTCATTCTTCTCCGGATACTAAAGGTTTATAAACATCTTTTTTCTTGTTTCATATCTGGATTAATTCGATTTAAAAAAAAGTTAAGGAAAACGCGTCAATGATTAATATTAACGAAGAAAATATTAAAATTTGTAAACTGATTACCAATCCTTGTATAATATTTATGTAAGATTAATTCTATGAATTAAATGTTTAGGATTTGCAACAAAGTTCTGATTAATGAATTACTCAAAAAGTCAATAATCGAAACTTAATGAAAAGTCACCACAGTATACTAATACAGTAGAAACTTACAGTAGGTCGACGAATTTGAAGTTGTTTATAGATTCGTCGTTGTAGCAGGTTGCATCAATTCTAATTAAGTCTATAATTCTAATTTACATTTATAATAATACAATCTTTATTTGCGGAAATATGGTTACATAACTTGTTAACAATTTTAAATATCCAGGATATTTTGTCTTCAAGACGACGTGCAAATATTACAATCCATACATGTACATGTAAGCTTTCTGAATTCAGTCAATTTTAGGATCTTTATCTGATTAGGTAGATGATTGTATATAAGGATCGCCATACAGTACGCATTTTATGAAGTCATCATTAGTCTTTGACTAAGCTTACGTAAGTCTTCTCGTTTCCTACCTCTATAAAAAAGTTCTTGTTTTTGTGACCATATGGAAATATTAAAATGCATTTTTGGTCTATCACATTTGGTAAATTATATACATAGAGAAGGAATAGGAGAGATCCTAGTACACTTCCCTGAGGTACTCCACACTTATTCTGATTTGGGAATTTAAGTAACTTTTTATCTTTTTTTATTTGTCTATACGTACATTTAATGTATAAGTGAAGTTATATAAAAAAATGAAAAATCTCACACATAATTCTAACAAAAAAGGAGGTAAATAAACGTTTCATTAAATGTATGATTTCTGAAGCCCTGTTGTAATTCTCACAAAGTGAGCGTAATTCAATTAGGTTTACAATCCTTTCACCCCGTGTACCCTTTACGATTGCACTATCTAGATGTGCCTGTTAGCCAACTCTAAGATCATAGACAGTGACATTATCTTTTCTGAACTATACTGTAATACGGGGGTGGTGAATGGTTATGGTCAAGTGATATCGGATAAATTATATCATCATCATATCTAATTCTCGCTTCACAACCATAAAAATAAAACTTCTTCGAACATAAATACAATTTAGACGTAGGATGCATTCTAGTAAAAGTGAATTTGTCATATAGTATTAAATACACATTTTGGTCTTCCTTAATCAGTCTGAATTCGATACCTGTAAGAAAAATTAAAATAATTTTAAATATGTAAGTATAATTCAAATGACAACATAACATTATACAATGTTCAAATCCAAAATTATCATAGTGTGCATAGCTTAAAGCAAATTTTCACTATATGTGATACTGGGCTGGGTACCACATACGTGTTCTATGTCGTTATGACCGCGCGGCGTTATAAAGCGCTACAGTAACAATATTTAAAACACTCATATCTGAAAATAATTTAAAGATCACATCGGACGAATTAGCGTGACAATGAGGAAGTATTTAAATAAATAACATTAGTTCCCGAAATCAAACTAGATCTCACTACGGTACGTTCTTGATTTCTCCATGATAACCCTTCCGGTTTTCTTTCATGTTTAAAAGTAAATTAGTTTTCAAAACTCAATAAACAACTCATATTCTATTTGTACTTTTTCGTATTTGTATACAAGTTTCAAACTTTTCATATTTCAGTTTTTTAATATGTTAGTTAAAAGGCACGGAAATGACTGTCTTCGGTCCATTCGTTTCCTGCAAATCAACTCAACTTTTGCTAGAGTCGCCATCTAGCGAAGGTGCTTTTTTAGTGATTTCGTTTTTTTAAAATACTTCCTCATTGGCTAGAATGACTTTTGCGCAAAAAACAGAAAGCAAAGAGTTGTAGTTTAAAAAAAAATCAGATAAAAACATCAAATCTTATTATGATAGTGAATTTTATCTTAGAAGACTTAACAATCAAAAAATTAACGTCCAAATGTAACATAAATCCGAATAAAATACTAACTAACAAAAGTTTAATTATTGACATTTTAAGAGAGTAAACTTTTTTATTTTAAAGGTGCATTTCAAGAACCACTCACGGTAATACATTTGCCTCTTGAAGTGTGAACAATCCGTAAAGGGGACAGTAGCCAAAACAGGGCTTTCTGTCCTAATAGTTATGTTACTGTCATATATGTGACTTGAGCTCGCTTGGAGACGGCGAGGTATGGCGAGGAATTCCAAGTCAGATGGTTAATTCGTTCGTCATTTGTTGTACGTCCAAGAACTCGTGACAGAGACGTGCAGAAGCTCTATACTTCAGCATGTAAAAATACTAATGGTACATTACTCAGTTCATAGTTACCCAATGTGGTGGATAATGTGCAAGAAGTGGACATACTAATATTCAGCAAAAAAAAAAAGTCAACAGTAAGTTTTACAAAATTTAATGATTATGAGTTAAGCAGTATTTATAAAGAACGTTAAATTCATTAAAACAGATTCTCGCTGGACAATTGAGGGGTCTTCTTTTTGAACAGTACCAGTATCTTGACTTGTAACTATCTAAATAAGTTTGTCCGTTACACAGTATCATGTTTCTTCCATTTTCGCCTTTCATAATCTCAAATGATAGACCTGTTGTACAATACAAAAGACACGACATTAAAGATCAGGTTCTAAACATATTTTTCAACGCAGGGCAATCTTCGGTGAGGTATCTGTAATATTTGTGCTAGATTGCTAATGTAATATGAAACAATGACCGAGGTGAAAGCAATAAGAGGCCATAACAAAGTTCATAAAAAAGAAAATTTTATAAAATAAAGTTTTCACCTAGACCTTGGATATGCGATAAAGACTTTTTTCATTTCTGTTATGTAGCCGGGATTCAAGCGCTTAGATATGAATGCAATCTAAAAGAACGCTATTTTAGTGATCTATCAGATGAACGCCTATTATAAGTCCACGAACTCGTGACAAAAACATGTTTGAGTTTCATTACGGTTGATACTCCGTATCACCAAGTACATAAAAGGTCAGATGGTGATGTGGATATAATCACTTATACTCCAAAAAAACATTCAACAGGTATTTTATAAGAATTTAATGATTATGAACCAAGGAATATGTGGTTATAACGTTAGATTTATTGAAATAGATTTTGGCTTTACACTTGAGGGATCTCCTTTTTGAACAAAACCAATATCTTGAGCTCCTACTACCGGAATAAGTGTGCCCATTGCATAGCATTAAGGTCCTTCCGTTTTCGCCTCTCAGAAACTCAAACGTTAGACCTGTTGTTAATACAGAAAATCCTAAAATGATGAGTTATGTCATCTTAAAACATCTTAAAACAATCTTAAAACATATATCTTTATTCATGATCACGATTCAAGAAAGAAGAAACAACAAGAAATAACATTCGTAATTTTTAATTAATCAATTGTATGGAATCATTATTAAACTTAACACAAAAATGTTAATTGACTTTAATATAACTCCCGTCCTGTGTCAAGTGATACTGGGGTGGACTATGACAATGATTTAGATCATACGAGATTATTTTATTGAAATGATCCAAATTCAACTTTGCTTTACACTTCTTGGACAGTTTACTCGAACAATACCAGTTTCTAGAGTGTTTGCTCTGCCTCGCGAAGGTGAATCCTTGGACCATGGCCAAGTAGCCTCCACGTTGTGAATTGATGAACTGCACGTACAAACCTGATGATGGAAAAAAAATTAACAATATAAATAAATTCAGGGTCACCACGCTGCGTGCTTTGAACGAGAACAATTGAACGACCTGTATTTCTGAAAACATTGTTTTTAATGTGTTAAATTCAGATCACGAACAAGAGAAGTGGCTAGTTAAGAAATAGAAGTTGCTTGTATTGAAACTACGCAGTGTCTATGTTAGGAAAGGAAAGTCACAATTCATGTATTACTATCAATCGTCTTTAAAGGAATAAGATGAATTTGACCCAAACCGATTTCAAAAGTTGATCATTTTTATAGGAATAAATTGAAGATCAACTTTTTAATATTATATTATTTTTATTTTATTTAATTTTCATCTTCGAAACCTTTGTTTTAGCGTTAAGTCAAAGACTGGACATCTAAATCTCTTATTATGTTCCTGTCATCCGGATCTTCAACAGTATATTTTTATTATATTTTTGCATTACTTTTTACCGAGAGGCGCACTCGGTTAGGATTTGCAAACGCTTTTTGGTTTTCTTTGGCTTGATTGAAAAGAACTTTTTTTTTAAATATGAATGACTCTAAAAATTATTACCGTCTGACGTAGGGCAGCAAGTTTCCGCAATTAACAATGCGTTGATTGTTAATTGCGGAAACTTGAACTTGCGGAGAGTTGAACCATATCTTGAATCTAGATTAAGAGGCGTGTAAAGCTTTTATTATTGCGTTTGGAACAACAACAACCAGTTTTCAGTTATCGATAACATTTATACATTAAAAGGGTGTACGCGCCCTTAACACTGGTACGAGTGCCTATGTTTAGTGTTTTTTTTTAAATCTGGAAATAATTATTTGCCTTTGGTATGTAGTTAATAATAATACGCCTAAAAATTATAACAGTTAATTTATATAAAAAAAAAACAAATATTCCTAAACTGATCAACAATTTATTTACATTATTAGGTATAAGACATATTTTTAATATAGAATATAATACATATTTATTTGACAACATATACTACAATACAGTATGAAGTAAAGTACTAAGAAACAAACAAATAAGGCTATGATATACCGACCGTGTAAATACACTTACATATACTTACAGTGAGAAACCCGCAAAAAAGTAAACTTTGCGCAGAAACTAAAAAAAAAACGACTCAAAAAGATAAAAAAGCGAATGCTTATCAAAGAACCGGTTCATATCGGTGTGATCTTATTAAATTAATTACCTACACAAAACTCCCGCATTTCAGATTATTGAATACATCGGACTGAAAAAAAATGCACTCTAGGTTCTGTAAAGTAGCTGTAAAACGTTGAGTGCGTGGATTTAATCCGATGTCGATGAGAAAGTTTTTACGCGATATAACCGTTTTTATTCTAGATACTAGAGATGACAATTGCACTAGGTGCATAACACATTAGATGAATTATCTATTTGCCACTCAATTTTTAATAATTTTGATAGTATTTGGTTTTATTTAAATTATCAATTACAATATACGATTACTCTATAGTAATCGTGGACAAAATGTCAAAGCTAATAATGTTAACAGGTGTGACGTGAAAAACTTCACTTCCAAGTGACTTTTAAAATAGCTAAAACTAGGTCATAATCTTACAATGGCCAAATCAGGGTCATCTGTCCTATGAACAAATTAATTATCTATCAAATTGTTAAAGAAAGGGAAGGGAAGGCTCAAACATGTCTTATTTTTTCTTACAAATGGGAGGGAAAGAAGGATATGGTTGACGCCCTACTTTTACTAAAGAACCATCTTTAGTCTCGTGGTAATGCGGTGGTGGATGATTATGAGTAAGATTGTACCGCTCCAACTTGAAGTCATGATCTAAAACTAATCGTGCTTTACACTTTTTCGACTGCGAGCTGGAGCAACGCCATATCTTGGTGAACTTATGTATTCTTGAGAATGTGAATCCTTGTAACATTATAATATGGCTGCCACGGGAAGTCGAGACGAACTTGATTTCTGCATCTTCAATAGAAAGATATTTATTTATTGAAAAAAGTTTAATCAAAATTTTTGTACAAGTTTAGTATTAGAAAAATAAAAAAACAACATAGATAAATTTTAGACACACATCATTATATTACTCAGATCTTATACTAAGTAGATTTAGCTATTTTCTCTTAGTTACGAAATGAAAGCTGAGATGGCGATTAAAATTTATTTAATCATAAAAATATATCGGAAGGCTTTGCCCTGCTCGCTCACTAGTATCTCACTGTCGGTCTCTCGCTCTCACCCCATTTTCAAGACTCTCTTCATATTACACGGGCTGTAATTTTTTGTAGTCAAAAATTTAACGGATCTTTACATTACATGTAAAAAGCTTTACGATATTTTGCAATAAAAGAATTACAAAAAATGCAATCGCACTAAAACACTTCAGGTAATTTACATTTTAACATATCGACCCTCTGCAGTTACATAGTATTTTGGCGGTGGATGATTGTGTTTCAAATAGTGATAGCCGATAACGTTATTTGAATATTTATGAATCCTGGCTGGACACTGTGAAGCCACTTTACTCGAACAATACCAAGTCTTACAGCCCTTGTTCGATCTCGAAAATGTGTATCCATGTATCATTGCCAATTTACCGCCGCGATTGGATTCAATAAATTTCACTTCTAAATCTAAAACAAAAAATAGAAATAAAGGTTTCCAGTTAGATCATTTAGTTAGATGTCATTTAGTAAATTTCTTTGTTAAAATTTTATATGTGAAAGTTTGTTTGTTGATATGACTTAACGCTTAGATAAATTGAAAAACGAGCTGGTATCACGTTTAAGGTAATAAACCAGCAGACGATGAAAAGGTTTCCAATTCCGTTCATCAATTATTAAATTATGATAAGTGGTTCAGAATTTATAGATAGGGATGAGATAAGAATGGGTAAAAATTAAGAAGACATACACCATAAATAAATAATAAAATAGATTAAAATCAAAGTCAGAATATAGTTCATTAGGAACTGCGAATTGTTTGTGCATATTTACCCTATCTAATTCCTCAAGTTTATTTTGAGCATATAATTGCAAATTATCAGCGTACAGATGATAAGTGTTTGAAAGAGTAGATGTGAGAAAAATGTATAAATAAGGAAAATAGAAGCGGAGAAAGAACGCCGCCTTGAGGCACACCAGCAATTAAGTCAATCCAATCGGAAAATGATTGATTAACCCAAACTGTTTACTGGTGCCCGCAAAAAAAAAAGTGAGAACCAAGCAAGCACGGGGGGGCAGCATCCGGATTGAGCGAGAAAAATAAGTAAGGTCAAATGTGTTCAAGTTATTGGAGCAGTCAAGGAGAACTAAGACAGTCAGGCATGTATCATCCATGCAATCGCGTATATCCTGCACGATTTCAAGAAATGCTGTAGTTGTGCCGTTTCTAGTTCGAAATGGAGATAGAAGCTGGTCGCGAAAAATAAAAGTAGAAAGTTACAACCGCTTCAAGTATCTTTGACAGAAAAGGTAGAATGGAAATGGGTCTTAAATGATTCGAGGAGCTGGGATTGGAGACTTTTGGAAAAAGGATAGCATAGGTCTTATGTCATATGACAGGAGAGTAAGGAATAGCTCAGGATGAAAGTAAAAGTAAGAATTATGGCATCAAGTAGTAGGATAATCATCTATCAACTGGCTATGATAACATAAGTCGGATTATATTATCATAGCCGGTGGCCTGAGATTTAATAGAAAGAACTATCTTGCGGATATCATGCTCTGTTGCTTGAGCAAAATTTAAGAAAGTGTCAGATAGCATAGCCGTGGGTGTAAGTTTAGAAATGGTGAGTAAATTTAACATTATTGGGAAGAATAGAAGAAAAATGACGATTAATCGTTACTATTTAGCACTGAAACAAAATTGCTCGTATGATCGTTAGCTAATTTAGAACGCCTTAGATTGTTCATATAAGAATTCCGAACTGCAACTTCATTTGTCAACTCATACATATTTATACAGTTTAACATGACAGCCATCTTTAGTCGCTAAATAATTTGGCGGTTTGTGGTTATGGTTTTGAATCAAAAGATGTGATCTTGTTATCTGCATCCAAGCTGATCTTTGCATTATTTTGCTAGCTTACTAGAACAGTACCAATTTGTAAAACCCTTGTTTGAATTTGGAAAAGTAAAACCTTGAAGCAAAATAAATCAACCACCTCTACTAGGATCTACAAATTCCATCTACAAATCTAAAATCATAGTATTCTTGAGTTACTTTTACTTTTAATTTACTTCGTGTCAAACGTGTGTTCATCCGCGAGCACGTGCATTTGTCTGTGATTGCGTCCGTCTGTCTATTTACTTTACTTTGTAAAGGAATTTATTCATCAGCAGCTTATTGATGTTCCCATTGCTGGAGCACAGGCATTCCCTGTGGAATATGGTATTCATAGATTAGGGAGAACTACGCGGCTCAAAAAGTGTATTATTGGTGGATGTTATCAACTGCAGATGCAGCCAGGACCAACACTTTCACACGTCTTCCGAAGCACAAAGGAGCTCGAGAAAATAAATTTCATCAATCTACATCCCGTCCTTTGGCCGGTCCTAGCGAAAGTTGCTTAACTTCCGCATCGTAGGCCGAATCCGCTTACAAGTACGCCATCGAGCTCCTTAATTACAACAGTTATAATATTAATAAACATTGATTTCTCGCTACAAACAGGAATTCTTGAACAAATAAGTAGATAATAAAACTATATTGTAAAGTTGTTATTATTATTAAGTAATTAAGGAAAAAATCTGTAAGAAAATAGAAACAAATATATACTAAATACGTTTATTTTCATTAAATGGATAAATAATTCAGTAGCCATCTCCAAACCTTCAACCCATAAGTGTTACAATTAATTAAAGTAAATATTTCTTTATGTACATACTTATTGCAAAACAATATAAAATTAAATAAATTTAGCATTAAACTTAAACGGTAAGAAAATATGTTATACAATAAGGCCTTACCGCTAAACAGGGATCTCTTTCAGATAATCTAACAACAACAAGATATCTTTTAATTATACTAATATTTTCTATCATGATTCCGCATTTATTATATTGAGACAGATATACATCAACTGCACAAAACTAGAGTTCAGAAAACTTAAATATTATGCAGATTTTATAATATAACTAACTATATGTATGGTCCTGTGTTCAAGAATCACTAATTGATGAAAACCGCATTAAACCTGTTGTGTAGTTTAAAAGATCTCAGCGTAGAGACAGCGGGATGCGACTTCGTTTTATACCATGTACATATCGCACACCTAGATCTAAACTGAGACAACTCAAAAATTTGATTGAGTTTTAACTTAGTACAATATTCAAATTCTCTGTGATCATATGCATCTATTCAACATAACAGATTCAATAAAGGTTAGGGGTTGAGCCGCTAGATAACTTTAGCTTTCTTTTGTTGAATCAACAGTGGTTGCGTTCCTGCCACATAAACAAATGTATTGACAGACTTCCACATTAGTTTTTTGAGTTGTCTTTGTTTAGATCTAGGTGTGCGATATGTATTGACGAAAAAAAAGCACTTATACTTGAGACTATAGAATTTCGAAAATCATTTAATCGAAATGTTGTGGATAAAAGAAAAATTTAGTTTTGGTACAGGCGGACCGATTATTAAACCAAAACTATAGTCAACATAGCAAATAATAAATACACAATCAAAATTTTTATCTAAATCCAAACAAATTATATTTGTCAATACTGTAACTTTTAAATATTTTACTATTGAAATAGTTTATAAATAACAGAGGGCCTAGATTGCATCCTTTCGGTATTGAAACTTAATACACCGAATTTTTAAATGCTTTTTCGTAGTATAAACTTCATGTTCAGTAAACATTGTAGTGTATTGTAGTACTGAATGTTTTCCATCGGCCAAGTGTGGATTGGTGGGTATTAACGACCCGTCTTATGACCGCCACTTGCCTTGCATTGAAATTTTTATAGTTTATTCATTATATTTTTTTATGATACATTATTTATACGAATAATTTAATAATTAAAATTATTATTAAATAAACCTCTGCCTACACCCTACTACATCCTTGAAGATATATATATTAATTATTGATAGGTACCTTATTTATTACTGTACAATTAATTACTCTCTTACAGAAAATTATCACTTTTTCAAGATATTAAGTAATAAACTTCTACACCCCATAAAATTTATCCAAATGTTGTACATATCTACTTTTATTACTACTAACAAAAAATTAAGGTTGAAAATTGCGTGGAAAATACGAGTTTAAATTGACGTAAAAAAAGGAGGACTGAATGCTTATTATGTGTGTATGTTCCATTATTACATATTTTCTTCAATAATACACGATTTTTATAGTTTTTATAGTACACAAAAAGAGTTTTATATATATCACTTTACACCGTATAATACCCAAACGATGGTCTAAAAAATGGTTTTATGATTCTTTTACTAATCGTACAATATATATACCTACGTATAATATGTTTTGATGGGTCCTACATTAAATATGTGCCTATCATCTTAAAGAACTCAAACATTTATATGTAACCATTTAATTAATATAATCCTTGATATGAAATACTGAAATTCCTTCTAAAATAATTCCTAATAGGGAAAAATAAATTGCCAATTATTCCAATATTAAAAATTCTATAAAGAATAATTCAGAAAGTAATTTCAGTATTTAATTTTAGGTATACCATTCCAGATTTGGTTATTTTTTGCTCTTATATCAATTTCATTTATTTTATTCATAAACATCAACCCTTTTACGTCCCCACTGAAGGGGCCAGGCCTTCTTTATGGTTAAGGAGGATGGGCCATGACCCTCCACGCTGGCCCAATGCGGATTGGAGGGTTTTATTTAAATGACACTTATCTCCCGTCAGACCACTATAATCATAGTACAGTAAGTTTCATTGAATATATCGCATTGAGTTTGTGTAAAATATATTACCAATTCCAACGATGACCACCAAAATGTAAAGTGAATTTTATTTCAAAAATATAAAATACAACGTATTACGTGTCCGTCTTACTCACACGCAATGGCGGTCAGTTGCGTGGATATTGGTGGAACGTCCGATGGCGTGATACACGAATCATTCTGATTGGTCGACATTTGATGTAGTTTGTAGAATTGCGCAGGTACATCAGTGAGCCACACAAGTTGTTTCTTACTATAAAACTGATTCGCTTTCTACCTATACTAGTACTTAATTTAAAACATGTAACTAACGTTTTCACTATGCACACTCACATTGGGTGTTTGATAATTCTGCCCCTTTTGTATGATGACGACACCACCGTTCGACGTTCTGCGTAAAACGGGCGGGGGGTGATTGTGATATAGATTGCCACGGGTGATCAAATTGTCAGAGTTCAGACGGATCCTGGCCTTGCAGCCGCCTTTAGACTTCTTCGAGCAGTAGAATGTGTATAGGTTTCCACCCTGTATCGAAAACGTGTGTCCCTGGACCAGGATGAGATTCTTCTTTCCTTTCGCCGACGGTAGAATTTCGTACGAGACGGAATTGAGGGTGTATTCGATGACAGCTGTTTCGGAAAAAATATCATATTAATAAAATACAAACTACCTCAAATTTAAACATATACTTATTTATAATAATAATAATAATAATGTCTTTATTTGCAATAAATAGGGTTATATATACAGTTGTGATATTTCAGTTTAAGAGCTTTGACAATCAATAGCCGTATGACCCCAGTGCTGAGCATAGCATAAGTTTGCGCTTATAAAATAGAATGGAAACACAGGTCACACTCACGAAAAAAATTAACTCTAAATAAAAATAAGTGATGTTATTTATTGTTTGTAATATTGAATAATCTTCCTATATAAAAATATTAGGAAAATATATTTTACACCGAATTATACATTTGTTCTTTTTTATTATAATTTGACACATCTTTCTGAATATCCTCAAGAATAATTATTTATAATTAATAGATACTTGTTGATTTCACCGAGTACTGTTATACATATCGTACATACATTGTAATGATATTACACATATGAGGTTTTTAAAAGAATACAAAATATCAAGATTAGTTTCTATATATTTAAAAGACAAAAAGAAGAAAAAGAAAGGAAATCGTTGTAAAGTTTCATGCTTTACATAATAACGAAATTATTCTCTATGTAAGATCATTATTAAAATCAGAGGATCATAATTATCACAAGAATAATAGTGCAGAATGCACTATCTTCATTACTTTTGGATTGTAACTCATTCATAGTTGAAATTTAACAAAGAAACATAAAAAGTGAATAATTTTTAAAACTTTCTAGAAAGACAGTTAATATCTTCTTCAACAAAATTATATATATTTCGAATCAAATAGGGTTTTTGAGAAATTACAAATTAGCTTCACAAAAACAATGAAAGGTACAAAATTAAATAATAATCCAATTAACTCTCATCCAAACTTAGCGATCGCTGTTATTGTTGGAACTCCCGTTCTTATCGCAAGATCTGATCATATTTTGTACAATTGCCCGTCGTTAGTCTTATAAAACTTCGGCGGTGGGTGATTGTGTGTTGTCATGGCAGATTGGAGACGTCTATCCTTGTCGAGCTTCAGTTTAGCCCCACAATGAAGAGCGGCCTTCTTCGAACAGTACCAGTACCGAAATGACGCCCCTTGGTTTGAGTACGTATGGTCTTTGTACATAATTAATTTTTTGCCATTTATTGAAACCATATCGTAATGTCCTGTAAATTAAAAAAAAAATGCATAAAAATTAAAAATAAGGTTTGGAATGAGAAAGCTGTTAAGAATGTGAACTAAGAAATAACGGTCAAATAATCTGTAATTGAAAATCTTAAAATGGCTAACGACTGTTACTCAGAACAGACAGTCATGTAACTTTACTTTTTAAGGAAAAAAATATGCAAAAGTTGCACTTCAAATTGGTGTTTTTAAAATATACACATGCACTAGAGTTTTGTATTTATATAAAGACTCGATTTGTATAAAACTACAAAATAAGATAAATCGTGGATTTGAAGAACACGGAAATTCTAAACATACTTGTTTCAAGGATGGCTAATTAAAAAACTAAATTACATTACAAATAACTCTCCTCCAAACTTAGCGATTCACATTACTGTTGGAGCAACTAGTCATTATATTCTTATCAATTGACCATCTTTAGTCCTATAGAACTTCAGCGGTGGATGATTGTGTATGATCGTTGCAGATTCGATGCGTCTATCATTGTCGAGCTTCAGTTTAGCCCCACAATGAAGAGCAGCCTTCTTCGAACAGTACCAGTAACGAAATGACGCTCCTTTCTTTGAGTACGTATGGTCTTTATACATAATTAGTTTTTTACCATTTATTGAAACCACATCGTAGTGTTCTATAAATAAAAAAACATACATTTAAATTAAGGATAACGTTCGGAATAAGAAAACAATTAAGAATTTTTGAGTTCAATTAAATACTAAGAAATAAAGGCCAAATATTTTCTAATTAAAAAATCTAAAAAATTATAATTAATATACAATAAAAACCCGCCTGCGTCAAAAACAACTAACTAAAAAGGCTAGAACGAGATACTACATACATAACATCATACACAACATGCAGTCGCTGGCATGGACAAAGAACGACTAATTTGACTTATTATTCAAATTCATGCCTCCGACTGCATGTTATGTATGATTCTGCATAAATATGGTATCTTGTGTCATCCTCTATAGTTAGTTATTTTTCACGCAGGCAATTACCAGGTTGGTTTAGAAAGTGAAAAAACAATGTCCATATTTTTACACTTTATCATGATATTATTTTTATTAGTATTACAGTAATGATAATCATCATATAACTTGTTGTTTAATTCGAAACAAAAAAGTTATCATTAAATATAATGGTTTCGCTCAGCCGTCATATTTGATTTATTTTTTATTTTATCTTTCAAAAACACTTTGGCTATTAAGAAAAATTTAACGATTCTTCAATTATCTAAATCTGTTCGGCGTTAGAGGCAGGGCACCGTGAAGAAATACATCGAATGTTTAATTTAGTAGTGTTTCTTGATATCGATATTTGAAAACAGTCAATATCGATATCAAAACATGATATCGGTTATGGGAAAATAGTAAAAACGCCCATATCTAAGTACCAGTCTTGTTGTCCCATGAGCTCATCATATTTTGATCAACTGGCCATCGTTACTCTTATAAAACTTCGGTGGTGGGTGATTATGTATAATCAAGGCAGATTCTATGCGCCTATCGTTGTCAAGTTTCAGCTTAGCCTTACAACGTAGTGCTGCCTTCTTCGAACAGTACCAGTACCGAAAAGACGCTGATTGGTTTGAGTACGTGTAGTCTTTGTATATCAGTAGTTTTTTGCCATTTATTGAAACTATTTCGTAGTGTCCTGCAAAATAAAAATATATAAAAATAGCAGACGAATATATAAGGCTGCTTACGTTGCCCAACAGCAGGTCGGCCAGTGGATTGTTTGGCGGGCTACTTGCTGGATTTAAGACACTTCTGCGGCTTTTATCAAGTTGGCAATCCACGCTTTGACCCGTCCGTTCCAGAACAGGTCTATGTGTTTGGAGAGCCCTGATTTAAGGCGGAAGGACCATTTCCCCTGTGTTAAGAAAAAAAGAGACAGCTAGTAGGTTCCCAAATAGACTGATGTAAGCTTGTATGCACCATTACAATGTGATAAATGTTGTCTTAAAAAATAATATTCACTAGATTTATTTCCAACTGTTTTTTATTTAAATCTACAATCGATTTATATAAAATTACAATGACATCTATTTTCTATGTCGAGAGGAATTTATGAAATCGTAGCTTTGCATGTACACAAATATGTACTTAGTTTAAGAGTAATTGAAAAAAATAAAAATAAGCTCTCCTCTAACTCAGCGATTCTTATTACTGTTGGAACAACCCTCTAATCGTCTCATGACACTTTGAATAATTGACCATCGTTAGTCTTATAGAACTTAGGCGGTGGGTGATTATGTATTGTCACGGCAGATTTGATGCGTCTGTCGTTGTCGAGCTTCAATTTAGCTCCACAATGCAGCGGCGCCTTCTTCTTCGAACAGTACCAGTACCGAAACGACGCTCCCTGATTAGAGTACGTGTAGTTTTTGTACATCATTATTTTCCTGTTGTTTACTAAAACTATATCGTAGTCTTCTATAAACAAAAAAGACACACATAAAGAGATGTCAAAAAGACAGACAAGAGTCTAAACTATAAATCCGAATTTTCATTAAGAAACCAGTATCTACCGAAATTAAAAATATGTTTCACGAAACTAATTTCGATACATGTTGTTGCATGAATTATCAAAAATATACGTATTGGATGGAACTACTTTAGTGTCATGAAAGTCATGCATCACGCGTGCATTAACTGCAAATTAATGAAATTAAACTAGTTTCACGCAATTACTTTCGTGTCGTATTCAGCTTAATAGAACAAGAAGCATTAAGTAGTTGATTTGACACGGCGTCTAGAGATTACTTGGAAATAGAAATTATTATATTAGTGAAATTATAACGAAAGTATACGTCGTTTTCATTATTATTAGTCAATATTAGTTAAATGATGTAACGTTCTTTGCTCACATTAAAATTAAATAAATTCAAATTACCATTCTCTTTTATTTTTTAAATCGTGATATTTAAATGAATTTCTTCCAAATTCGCGATTCTTATTACCGTTGGAGCAACCCATTAAAAAATAGTCTCAAGATCTCAGTCTAGTTTGAACAACTGGCCGTTGTTAGTCTTATAGAACTTCGGTGGTGGGTGATTATGTGTTGTTATGGCAGATTCGATGCGTCTATCGTTGTCTAGTTTCAGTTTAGCTCCACAATACAGCGGTGCTTTCTTCTTCGAACAGTACCAGTAGCGAAATGACGGTCCATGGTTTGAGTAAGTGTAATCTTTGTACATCATTAGATTCCTGCCATTTACTAAAACCATTTCGTAGTGTTCTGTAAAAAAAATATATATACAGCATAAGAATAAAATTACTATAACTGCATTATCAGTATCGAATACTGATTACTATTACCTATTACCACTCGCCCTCCCCAGTCATCGTTTGACCGTGACCTAGACAGTAGGTAGCTGACGGGTTACGCGCGTGCTTTTATTGTATGTACCAAGGGCTGGAGTGCTCGACAGCCAAACTACAGTACAGTGTTGAAATGCTTTGCTTACAGCTTTTAGACCATTTATCATGCCATCACACAAGTAAGAACAATAGAGACCGTCGACGATTTTTCCGACGTGATACTTTGGTCTATGAAGAAATACTGAAAACAAATGCTGTTCAACGAGTATGTATTAATTCGGCTGTTCAAAATAATAAATTCTGCCAGTATGCATTCAGCGAACCATTATCGTCAAATATAATTAAATTTACGATTATGGATAGGATTGCCGGATGGTTGGGATTGATCGGTCCCTAAAATGAAGGAAATGTCCCGTCAAATTATTTAAATTGATAAAATCATTAATTCAACCTATAAACAACCTAGAAATAATTTTATTATCTTTGCTTGTTAATCATTATACTTTTGCGAGGCAAACGATGAACGTATCGCTTTTTATCCCGACTAATCCCGATTTTAAATCTTTTGGGAATTTTGCCCAGATATTTTACTCTTTCCATCTGGCTACCCTAACTGTGGACCGAGCTGACGATATTTTAGTATTCTGTCGTGTAGTTATCGTTGCAGTTTGAAAAAGCTCCATGCGACTTGGATCACGATTTATTCAATAATACAAAAACAATACATTGATCAATTATTATTTTTTTAATTCTTTAATTTTTAAGGGTTTTTATTATTTAGAATATGTCAACGCCATCATACCACACTTAAATCTAAATTCATTTTATTACAATTTTCGACGTCTGAGTGAGGCTGTAGAAGTCTTCTATGAGTCCTGGATTTGCCAAGAGTGCACTGTAAGGTCTAACAACTTCTGAGGATGCTCCATGGAAGGGCGAAACACTTGTAAAGTGGCGAACGTTGCGATATTTGTTGTCGTTTGTTCCATAACATGCCTACCAATACATAACGTACAATACTTCTAGAAGTCTCAACTTGTACTTGAAGAAAGACTTAAGAAACAGTAACATAAGATCCATTGCTTGTTTTATAAATTTTAGGTGGTGGATGATTATGATTGGTGTCAGCTAATACAATCCTTTTTTCGTCGTCCAACTTGATTTTAGCACCGCATTGCAGCGTCAATCTTTTAGAACAGTACCAGTGTTTAAAAGTCGGGCCCTTCTTGGAGTACGTATACTTTTGATGTAGTATCAAATATTTTCCGTTTACAACTGCCATTTCATAGACGTCTGCAGAAAAAAAAATAACCAATTAAAAATAAATCAGCCTCAATATTTTAGATCTGATATCTATTGCATCAGGTTCGAACATGTAGAAATAATGCCGTATGAAAAAATGATAAAACTGATATACAACGCAAAAGTAATTATATAATTTTTTATTTATTTTTGTTATCAACTTTCGAAATGTAGTGCTTTTTGCCTGCAATCGTAAATCTATAGTAGAGTCGGATCAAGAGGCTCCAAGTGCCCTCTTACTCTGGGTGCCAATTTTATAAGGGGGCGCCTAAATCATCAAAATATAATATGGTTTAAGAAAAAAAAATGAACTTCACAAACATTTATTTTAATATTTAAACTCATAAGGCTGTGATGGGACGGGCATGTTAAAAAGTCTTGAGGACTTAATTTAGATAAAAAAAAAATACAAAAGAAAATGGTAAAAGAGAAAGTCATGTTTCAACCTGATTTGAAGAAATCGTAGTATTGCCAAGAATCATATTTTAACATAAGAACCATCTGCTGATTTATAAAGTTTAGGTGGGGGATGATTGTGTGCAGAATTAGAATAGTCTATACGTAATTTGTTATTAAGTTTGATTTTTGCTTGACACTGCGTGGCATACTTCTTGGAACAGTACCAATGTCTCATTGTCGACCCACTTTTGGAGAAAACATATTTTTTGAACAATACCAACGTCCTGCCTTGTATATTAATAAACTCATATTGTTCTGTAAAAAAAGAATATCACTATTAAGTAAAAAAAAACATATTAATATCATATTAAAAATATGTGTTAGCTGAAAAGTACTAAGCACTTACGCTCATAACCGACGGTTAAGATGCAAGATTTCATATTAGAAAAACATATTTTAATATCTTAAGCACACGGTAAAGGTTACGATAGTATGAATGCTATAATATTTCGTATCTTACGATAACATACGAAATACATACATAGTCTTGCTATAAATATAAAATAAACATATATTAACATTATTTTTTATTGGGCTTAACATTTATTAATATTACAGTGAGTAAGTTAATTACATTAATATAAAGCCATTAAAATATATAGTTATAGCTTATCCGAAGTGGTCTTGAATGGTTGTAATAAAATCCTTTAAACGCTGCGGCCAGTTATCGATAGATGTACGTACTCTTTCCACGGCAAAAATTCTTTACCGCTAATCGTATGGATTGTTTTAAAAACTCCGATTTATCATGGCGTTAATAGCAAGTCTTACTCTCAATAACTGATCATAAATCATATATCCAGCGGATTAAGATCTGGACTAGATGACGGCGAGTCCCTAGCACCCTGAGATGGGGACCAAGCGGATTTTTTTAAGCATTTTACATTAAGATTATTTTTCAGTATAGCATTGTGAATGAGAAATTGATCAAATATAATGAATACTCCAGGTTCTACAAAACTATCAAATTTCTCCATTTGATTTTAAATTGTAATACATTAGGGGTAGACTACAAAATCATCAATGGGAATTCGACTTAATGTTTTTATCAATGTGCTAGTATACTAAGCTACGTATTGTGAAAAAATAAAATATAAATGTTGGGGCCGTTGAAATGAAATAGCTCGCGATGCCAAAAAACCTTTATTATTCAAATCAATGTCATACAAACACAATAAAAAGTTATTCTTACTATTTTATTAAATCTAACCTTTTATTAATCTATATGCAAACTAAATTTCTACCCGCAGCTGCGCGTGCGCAGAATTCTCGCGAGAAAAACAATCATGTACTTTCCCAAATTTCACTTAATACGTGTACGAAATTTCGTTTAAAATGGTTCAATAACTTAAACGTGACAATGTTACAGAGTTAAATTAGCATTTATAATATTAGTATGACTAACAGCCAGTTGCATAAACACCCATTACAATTGTCATTAGTTTAAAGCGACATTACCTATACAAATTTGACATTCATTAGATCTTAAAGACGTCATTAAACCTAAATGGACGATTGTGCAATTCACCGTTAGAGCAGGGATAATTACTAATTTATTGTCAACGGCAACACATTGAATTGAAATTTCGCATGACGTCATAATTTTATACATTTTCTACATAGTGGTGACGTAGCGAGCCCCACTCCTCAACTTTAATGCCCGTTATATAAGCTATTTCTAGTTGAATTGAAGAAAAAAACGTATCTAATACTTTCTATTATCTAACTAACGGACAAATTTCTTTCAGAATTTCTTTTTTTCCCTTGGCATCATACCTACTGCCTAGAAGCAACTGTATGATAAGATCCATATCTTGTTTTAAATAGTTTCGGTGGTGGATGATTGTGTTCGCTATTAGCTAAAACAATCCTTTTGTCATCGTCCAACTTGATTTTGGCGCCGCACTGACGCGTCAGTTTCCTTGAACAATACCAATGTTTGAAAGTCTTCTTAGAGTACGTGTAGTTCTGATACAGCATCAGAGATTTTCCGTTCACCATCGCCATTTCATAATTATCTAAAAAAATAAATTATCAGATGCTTCGCAAAATCTTAATTTAAACTATTATTTAATATTTAATTCGGATGGAGTGTATGTCGCAAGTGCTGGTCAAAGGATGGGCGATCGCAAAATATTAAGCCCAATTGGACCAACAAGATTTAATCTTATAATAATTTATTAAAGATATCCATTGTGAAGATTTATAATTCCGTAATAGCTGAAATAATGTTTGAGAAAGAAAACAAACAATATTTTTATCGAAGAGAGACTTTTATTCGGATTCTCGAATATATTGTTATTACATATCAATGAACATATATACAATGTGCAAAAGAAAATCAATTCGAAACGAATTCGAATAAACTAATAAAAAAAAACACATCGATATTGTTATCAAAATGGACAAACACTAAATCTACATCTTATGTATATGAAATCAAAGAATAAACATTAACAGTTGAAATTACGATTGATTTGATGAATTACCAATGCCAGATTAAAACGGAACTATGGCCTAAATAAAAAACAAGCAAATCTAATGATAATAATATGATTAAATTTATAGATATTAAGAGAATAAAGGCTTGGAACGGTACCATCGACACTACTTCTTCCTAGATTTCTTACATCCCCACTTTTAACCGAGTTCATAATCGAAAAGGAGGTTATATGTTCAACAGCGAATTATGTTTTTGTGTATACGATTTAAAATGTAATTTTTGATAATCCTTATTAAGTAATTATAAATTATTGACAAATATGTCAAAATTCATTTTATTACAGTTCAAATGCTTTTATTGCATACATTTATAGCAATTGTATGCGTGTTACAGAGTATTGCTTAAATAATTAATTAATCCACTTCTCATATTTTATGAAACTCAAACTGTTCTGCTACTAAATTAATTATATGATATTCAATTAACCACATAATAACTACCATCGCATCGTTTATAGAATTTTGGCGGAGGATGGTTATGATTGCTGTCGACAGATACTATCCTCTTCGCGTCGTCCAACTTGACTTTAGCACCGCAATGTTGTCTCTGTTTCTTTGAACAATACCAGTATTTTAAAGAAGGACCCCTTTTAGAGTATGTGTATTGTTGGTACAGCATCAGTTGCTTATTGTTCACCACTGCTAATTCGAAATCTACGAATAATAAAACTCACAATTGAAAACCTGGTTAAAATGTTAAATAAAACACGGTATATATAGCTCAATATCCCAGTGAAGAAGACAAAATCTATTTGTTATGAGAAATCCAAAACTTAAAAGAAACTACAACTATTATATTTGATAAATTTTTGCATTCACGATTCTATCATCATCATCAGCCCTTTTACGTCCCCACTGCAGGGGTCAGGCCTTCCTTATTGATGGTTAAGGAGGATTGGCCATGACCCTCCACGCTGGCCCAATGCGGATTAGAGGATATTAACGACTGCAAATGCAGCCGGGACCAACGGCTTAACGTGCCTTCCGAAGCACGGAGTAGCTCGAGATAATAATTTTTTGGTCACCCATCCCGTGACCGACCCTTGCGAAAGTTGCTTAACGACAACGATCGCGGGCCGCGGCGCTTATCCACTACGCCACCGAGCTACCACGATTCTATACTGGTCCCCATCTCCGAGTACCAGGGACAAAGTGGATTTATTCGCTTTTAAACTATCGCGCTGCATTTCACATACTTATAATAAAGGGTATTAGACGCGATTTTTACACTAACCTGCGCCTACGCAGAGGCTAGACTTGCTGCTCCAGTCTCGTCGGGACCACGGCCGATGCAACTCGGCTACCAGTTATTATAAGTATGTAAAATAGTGGTGTTTTTTAAACATTTTTTAGTAAAAAAAACTACAACTAATTAAAAGCCAAGACAATATTACAAGATGCGGCGTTAGAAATTCCATATTTCAATTGCACCTTCTATTAGTTCCTAGAGTAAGGACAGACCGATTTAAAATTGGCGTAGTCTAATATTTTTACGGTTAAGGTAGTAGCAGACCATGTATATAAAGTACTTGTTCCACGTTGGCTCTGAGCCAGCAAATGAATTAAGGCCTATTCAGATTGCTATTAGTACCATAGAAGTATAGGAGCAACAGATGTGTAATTTACCATATTACAAGCTGCTATCTTTAGGATACCATCCTTATGGTATCCAAAGGGGGTAGGACATATACTACTGCTACAATCATCTGATGGGATCTATTATAAGCACCTCATTCAAGACACTCCAATAATTTGTTTTCCTCAACCACGGTAACTGTTTTAAATAAACTGTGTAAAAATCATACTTTTGTGATAAATTTAAAACTAGAACTAAAAACACAAATAAATTATTCAGTTTTAAGCAATGTTATTTATTTTGACAAAAATATTAAAAACTTTATTCAAAAACATAAATCATAGTTTAAGATATGAACCGTCTGCTGATTTAAAAAGTTTTGGTGGCGGATGATTATGTTCGCTGTTAAAGAAATCCATATTTAATTTTTTATTAAGCCTGATTTTAGCTTGACACTGAGTGGTGAATTTCTTGGAACAGTACCAATGTCTCATAGTCGGCCCATGTTTGGAGTATGTATTATTTTTAAACAACAACAGATTTCTGCCTTGAATCGTAATAAACTTAAATTGTTCTGCAACAAAAAACAAAACTGCCAATCTTCTTGTTATAATTATTATTGTCTTACATGTAAACAAACTTGTGGGTATCAATGAAAATATTAAATTAAAAAAATTATTATACGGTCTCGTTTACTGAATTGTACTTCTGTTTCTTGGTTAAAAGATTCCTATGTATTGTCTATGAGTACAGACACATATGTTTGTACTCTTTATATGCATGTACAGCTATTATTTTATATAAAATGTCAAGTTCAAATTTCAATTCCAAACCCAAACAAAAGAGCTGTTTAACAAACGAATCAAAATATTATAATGGCAAATAAAAAATTCTGGCATAATATTAAAAAAATAAACGACAAAGATAAATTGGAACATCACAACGTTTATTTTCCACACAAAATATTGTATAGTCTTAAAATCAAAATATAATAAAAAATGCAAAATTATCTACCGACAAATTAGCTACCACCGTATATGTTCGAATTATCAGTGTGCATTAGTATTATTAATAATCTAATTTAGTAATTTTATTACAATAAAAAGCATATAAAACAGCATAATAAGGTCCACACCTTCATATTTCATGTCAACTGGTCAGTCGACTAAATGTAAGGCTATGCACACACTGGTGACTTACTGTGATCGTGATTTTTAGTCTCCTGTCACCGTGCTAAGAATCCTTGCAATGTCATTTAAACGTGAAAACATGACAATTAGTTAAATTCCATAGACAAAAGAGCATGGTGACAATAACAATAAGTCAGATGTAGTAAGTCAAACAGGCTATCGGATTACCAAATACAGTATAATATATGTCGCATCATCTTTACAAAGATCGTTTGATTTAGTTTCTTTTATTTTAATTGCTAGTTACTCGATTACTTAATTACTCGATTGTAGAGAGAGCGTGGTCATCGATACTTTTAATTTTATTAGAATGGTGACACTAACTTTGTCAGTTCGTTAACAAAAAGCAAGTTGCCGCCATTTTGGCACACATTCTGTTAACGATCGCTCAGGAGTAAAGACATCCGACGACATCACGCTCATCTTGTTATATTTTCGTATGAAAAGTGATATAATGGGATAAATCCACGTTGGTATATACGCCTGCAGTGTTATTTTAAAGATAGTCTCCCGATATGGACGATCTATTTGGGCTTCGTAATAGCCCCTTCTGACTACCCGCCGACATATATTAGTTTGCATAGGCCGGCAGAACTAACTTAGTGATCAATATTACCTTATTAAACTCTAATATAAGTACCATCAGATCTCTTAAAAATATTAGGTGGAACGTGACTATGATAAACACATCCTCCGATGACGGTACCGTTCGGATCCAACTTGAGTTTAGCTGGACACTGCATGGAATTCTTTTTGGAACAATAGACCAAGTTCTGAGATTGCCCTTGTCTTGAGTAAGTATAGCCTTTGTAAAGGACGACGGTTTTACCGCCCACTTTTATAATTTCAGCAATATCTGGACCTGTAAAATACAGTAAATATAAATGGACTTGCAATAATTATACTTTTAATTCTAAGTTAAACTATCAAATTGTGAAGTTGCATGAAACGAACCGTACCTCTTGCGCTGATTGGTTGAACGTTATGTGCTCTCCAATTTGGTAGTTAAATCATTTTCGAATCAATTGTCAATAGTATTTTGGTAACTTACGCTGTTTATGAAATAAATTTTGTTCCTTTAAAAGCAGTCTCCGCCCCGGCTCTCCTATGATAACAATAGCCAACTAGGTCCAAATTACCATGATACCAATAGAAAAAGAGGCCGACAAATGTGAACTGTAATTATTAAGACTTATTTTTATCATTTACTTAATAGAAATGAAACAATTTTGTTGAATATCTTTATGAAAAAAAATCTGTCTGTGAAGTTCGTTTTCGATGATAACCGAAACTTCTTAAGCGGTCTTGAGGAAAATTTTCACATTGGTTGTAGGGCAGATGAAATAGTTTTGGCCATTTTAGGAATTACGAAGTAATGCACTTTGACACATCAACGCTGTTATGGGTATTAGTTTTGACATAATGCAACATTAAAAAACCATTCACGGTAAAGTAATATATTTGCCTATGCGTTAGTTAGAACACTTAAAGTGTCAAATGGCCAAAGAGAAATAACCATAATCGTCTCTTCTGCTCTAAATTATATTTATTCTTTGGGAAACAACAGCATAGAGCTACACATAGAATTCAATCCAACTAGGTGGTAGTTTTCTAGACAGTTCCCACTGCTAAACAATTGATAATAATAATAGTTAATACTCTTTATTGCACAAAACAGGAAAATTACGTAGACACACATAAATATCTACATAAGAACGTACACAAGGCGACCTTATCGCTAGCCAGCGATTTCTTCGTGGTTTGAGATATGGGGGTATCGTGGGGTTAAACAGTAAATAGCAAAGAAGCGATAGCAAATGCATATACTTACGACGACGAATGGGGAACCACTGAATGCCTACGGAATTCAGAAAATTCGTAATATTTGCGTAAGCCAAATATGAACCGTCTCTAAAAGTTTTGAAGAAGTTCAAACTTATTGAGGAGATCAAGTGTGAGATCAGGGTAACATGCATCTGCATAGGCAAGGCACATGAATCCCATCAAATATAATAGGTGTAAATCTATGAAAATTAATCCTAGAAATATAAAAGCTATAATTGTATCCTGCGTTTTATTAGGATTAACTGTGAGACCAAAAAAAAAAAATCCACTGGACGATTCGCACAAAGTGTGCGTTAAAAGCGATAATTGTATCATTAAGTCATTCGGAGCACTCTTGTTAGTAAATTTGAAGATCATTTGCATACAAGTGATAGGAAGAAGAGAGTTGTTGGGTAACAGAATTAATAAAAATAGAAAGCAATACTGGAGATAGAACACCGTCAACCGTGTAAGCCCACGTAGATACTGAATTTTCAGCACATATACGTTGACGGCGATCATGTAAGTAGCTACGAAACCAATCAAGTACCGCTGGAGATATGTTAATGGAACGAAGTATGTCTAACAAAATGTCAAAATGCCAAAAGCGTTCGTGAAATCCAGTAACGTTAACACATTGTTCATTTCTGATTCTCCATCCCATTACAAATGTCGTCGGTAATATTAAATAATGCCGTAGTAGTAGTGTGTCCAGGGCGAAAAAGTAGTACTGTGTCCATAGTTTATGACTATTAATAAAAGAATTCAATTAATGATAGTGTTAAAATACTTTAGAAAAAACTATAAAGGAAGAGTAGATTTAGGACGGAAATGAGAGTGATAATAGGCTTAGATATTTAAGGCATCATCCTTTTGCCATAAACATCTTTCCATGCATCAGGAAAAATAGAGGACGAAATAGAAGCATTAAAAATGTTTGTGGTGTTAGCCGTAAGCATATCAAGCAAGGGAATCAACATATTATAGCTCACACAGTCTTCGCCCATTGCATTATAAGGGTGTTTCTCTTAACGTCACAGTTGGTGACTTGACTAAATACAAACGTAAGGTAGTCGGGAGTGGGTAAAGATAGAAGATACTGTAGGGTCTGATGCTGAATACCTCTGTTGAATGGGAAACAGTTTGCTCGTTGATTTACCAACTCCCATTGACTTAAGGAACCTCCACACTTTAAATGAATTTCCATTTTCTTCTGACTTGTGAATATGGCGTTTTTGTGCATCCCTACACATTGTATCGCAGCGATTTTTAATAGCATGGTAGTTAACACGATTTCGTTTTCGTTAATTTTGTGTTTAGCTATAGCGCGGCGCGCCGAAGTGATAATTCTACGTCGAGCAAACAATGAATAACATAGTAGACAACAACTTTTTTGTTTTTAACGACAACTAGGAATAACAAGACATGGATATACAGTTACGAAAATTGTATAAATAGTTTAAAGTATTTGAGAAAAAAAGTCTTCTTTATAAGTTTTATAAATTGTTATGGTTTCAGATTGAAAGTATCAACATGATCGTACTTAGAATTGTAAACATTCAGTCCGGCAGTTTAACAGTTAGTCCGGCTCTAAGGAACGGAAAAAGTATCCCTAGAACGCAGGTTACTCCTTGGGCACCTTGATATAATTTTACTGAGTAAAAAGGAGAATCAACATAATTGTTGATGATTTTATATAAAAAAGGTAAGTCGCTATACTCCCTTCTACGCGATATTGATTCAACTTTGTCCTCACAAAACCCCTAAAACCTGTACTTCAGCCAACTAATAAATATTGAATACTGTGTGAAACAGTGTTACTTTGTTATAATACTAAGCTATTATAACAAAGTAACACTGTTTCCCACGGTGGCGTAGTGGATAAGCGCCGCGGCGGACGATCGTTGTCGTTAAGCAACTTTCGCAAGGGTCGGTCATGGGATGGGTGACCAAAAAATTATTAACTCGAGCTACTCCGTGCTTCGGAAGGCACGTTAAGCCGTTGGTCCCGGCTGTATTTGCAGTCGTTAATATCCTCCAATTCGCATTGGGCCAGCGTGGAAGGTCATGGCCCATCCTCCTTAACCATCCATAAGGAAGGCCTGTGCCCCTACAGTGGGGACGTAAAAGGGCTGATGATGATGAACACTATTTCTACATTAATAACGACAATATTAATTAATAATAACTACAAGAACGAGATCAATGGACCCGAGCCAATAATGTGGAGATTAAAGGAATTCCTCTAAAACAAAACGAGAACCTGTACGATATCTCACAAAAAATTGCAGCCCTATGCAACTTCTCCTTCCGGAAGGAAGATGTGAATTATATCGCGCGCATGCCTACCCGTGTGCCCAATGCTGATAAACCAATATTGGTGGCATTTAATAACCGCTACTTAAAAGAAGAGTTTGTTGCATTGGCTAAGAAAAGTAAGAATATGAATGCTTCAAATTTAGGTTTTTCAATGACATCGTCAGCTAACATTTTTGTGAATGATCACCTTACACCGTGTAATAAGACGTTACTTGGTAAAGCTAAAAAATTGGCAAAAGAAAATAACTTCCGGTACATCTGGGTGAAACACTGTAAAATCATGGCCCGCAAATCGGATAACTCACAAGTATTTTTTATAAAGTGCGAAAGGGACTTGGAGAGGATCAAATAATTCTAATGAAGTGTGCATTCCTTAATTTATTTAAATTTCACATTTTCTATACATTATTTATAAACAGTTTGGGAACCACACTCAAGGCCGACACCTATTGTAAACCGGCCCCACGAGTATTTTCTATTGTTCACTGCGAGACGGTCAGTCAGCTGTGCGACGTGAGTAAACTACAAATATTATGGAATTCAACCTTATTTCAACTAATATACTTTATATCCGCGGTTAAAATCGCTTGTAGTGTAGAATACTTAAGCTTATTTTTGCTTACATCAAAAATGCATTTGTTGCTAGGCATTCGTAATCACTTTTGTAGATATACCTCATCTTTTGTTACTTTAACACACTTTTTCATACATAAGCTGAGTTTTTGGCTTTTTAAACTTTATTCGATATGTCATGAAGCTTGTTCGGGTCTTATTATGGCTAAAACGTACTGGTTTTATATTTATCCCTTTTTTAAAATAGTTATGTGGTTTGCTGCCTTCAATTGTTTTTATATCGTTATAACTATACCGAATGTAAAAGGGTATGACAAGATTGTAAGTTTATATTTGTTTTTGGGTTTGAAAGCAATGAATTTGTTTTGGTTATTTACATATTTCTTTCGGATTATAAATAAATCTTTAACTGACTTAGGAAAAAAATATATCGTATTAATTAAATCAATTATTACTTGGGATAACTTCATAAAATATCTATTATATTTTACAGATGAAATTAATACTTTAATGGCAATTTTAATTATTTTCGAATTGCATTGCAACAGAATGTGTCGTTTATTTATGGTTTTATTGAGGCACGTCTGTTATATCTGTATATTGTGGACACGTACTGGACACTTGTCTTTGAACTTTAATTACTGTAGTCAAGGAATTTGTAGCTTTTACTGCTTATATTGAAACTGGCCTTAATATATATTACCAAAATACGCGCGGGTTGCGCACTAAAACACATATTTTTAAGCGAAACCTTCTTATCAATTCGTATGATGTTGTGTCTTTAACAGAGACTTGGCTTCTGGATGGTATTAATGATAGTGAGCTCTTTGATGATAGGTACTTAGTTTGGCGACGTGATAGAAATTACAACACTACTCATGAAAAATTTGGAGGCGGAGTGCTTTTAGCTATAAAGCGTGAATTCTCAGCATCGCCTAAACCTGATTGGATCTCTTCGGCCGAGGATATCTGGGTTACAATTACATACAAAAATAAAATAGGTGCCAAAAAAATACATATATGTACACTATACCTATGTAATGAAAAGCATGGTAATTCATATAATCTGCAACTTACTAACTTCACAGATAACTTGTCACGGATTGTTCAGTTATGTCCAAATGATACATTCATAATAATGGGTGATTTTAATTTGAGCAATATAGACTGGACGAATAATTATCCTATGTTACCGTCAGGCATTTCCGGGGCATCGCAAGTTCATTTTATAGATACGCTTTCTGAATGTAATTTGGCGCAATTTAACCCGTGTAAAAATGTTAATAATAGAATTTTAGACCTAGTTCTTAGTAATGAGGAATTATCTGTATCATCGTGTCCGGATCCTTTGGTGCATGAGGATGCGCATCATAAGTCGCTCGTCGTGAATATGAATTGTCTATTTACC